CCCCCACCCCCAGCCTCAGTGGTCCATGCAGACCTCCGACCTCATTTCTGCCGGCCCTCACTTTTCTCCCAGGCCTGCTCGCTATTTCCAGAACCCCCGGAAGCAGCGCCTTCATTACAGACTTCCCTACGCCGGCAGCTGCAGCCTCTCCCTGCTCCAGACACCCTTGAGCCGTCTGCAGGCACCTTCTCTGCCCCCACCCTCCCTCGCAGAGCTCCTCCATGCTGAGCCTTCACGCTGAATCTCGCTTTTTAGTCCTCCAGGCTTCACAAATACACTCCCACGCTGCCTGTTCCCCCGACAGGGACTTCCTGGGACCCTTGTCCCATCTTCATCCTCACCCCTGACCTTCTTCCCCCAGGGACCTATGGAACAGTATTCAAGGCCAAAAACCGGGAGACCCATGAGATCGTGGCTCTGAAGCGGGTGAGGCTGGACGACGATGATGAGGTAGGACTGGAACCTCAGGGCCAGGGAGGGGGTTGAGGGCCCAGGCTGGGTGGGATGTGACTGTTGCCCGCCCGGCCCCCTCCCATGTGTAGGGAGTGCCGAGTTCAGCCCTTCGGGAAATCTGCCTACTCAAAGAGCTGAAGCACAAGAACATCGTCAGGTGTGTAGCTGGGCAGGGTCCTCCTTGCCTGTGTGGTCACTTGGAGGAGGGGGGGCTTCAGAGAGGGGCTGGGCCGATACTGGGATCAGGGTTGGGCTGAAATAGGGACTTGAGGCTGACATTTGCAGACCTTCCTGGCTGAGTCCTTCCTCCTTCCTAGGCTTCATGACGTCTTGCATAGCGACAAGAAGCTGACTTTGGTTTTTGAGTTCTGTGACCAGGTGAAAGGGGGATTCGGAGGACAGTAGCCTTGGGAGGGTACAGGGGCCCAGACTGAGGTTAAACTCTGCCCTGTTCCCCACCCCCACCCCTTTCTAGGACCTTAAGAAGTATTTCGACAGCTGTAATGGTGACTTGGACCCTGAAATTGTGAAGGTGAGGGGCTGGCGTCTGGGAGACTCAGGGAGGCGGGGTAGGAGTCTGTCTTCAGTCTACACACTCTGAGCACCAAGTTCAGGCCCTGAGCGGGGATAGGCTGGAGTGTCTATTTCTGTCCTCCAGGAGCCTCCCTATTTGCAAGCATCTTCACGTGGTCTCTTTGATCTGACAGTAATACTCTGCTATCAGTGATGTGATTTGCACTTGAGAGATGAGAAGATGAGATTCAAAGAGATTCATTCATTCATTCAGAAAATACCTATTGGATTCTTTGCTTTGTGCCAGGCACTGTTCTAGGCCCAAGACCAAGTGCCTTGTCCCAGGTTCCAGGGGAAGTAGTGCTGATTAATAATAGAGCATAATATATATACTGATGGCTCCGTGGTGTGTGCTTACTCGAGGCCATGTAGGGGAGAGATCAGTGCAGGAATGTAGGAAGGCCCACTAGGCTGTAAGTTCCAGAAAGATTCGGATCAGGGCCCCTGTGCACTGTTCACTTATTAATACCTAGCCCAGTACAAAGCAGGTCCTCTCTCATCGCTGAAAGATGGGTGGGGTTTTGAGACAAAGCAGAGGTGAAGAAGGGAGCATGGCCCATCGGCGGGGGAGGGCAGCTTCCTATCCAGAAGGTGTGATGCCCTCCCCTACTCCTCCCTCCCCTCCCAGTCATTCCTCTTCCAGCTGCTGAAAGGCCTGGGATTCTGTCACAGTCGCAACGTGCTGCACAGGGACCTGAAGCCCCAGAATCTGCTCATAAACAGGGTACCTTCTGGGGAGAAGGTGGGAGATGGGGCAGGCTCAAGTCACAAGTGATGAGGGGAGCCATGCCGGGAGGCGCAGGCAGGAGGCCTGCCCTGAGACTGTTGCAGACCTCTCTCCCTGTCCCTTCCCATCCCCCCACCCCCCCAGAATGGGGAGCTGAAATTGGCTGATTTTGGCTTGGCTCGAGCCTTCGGGATCCCTGTCCGCTGTTACTCAGCCGAGGTGAGCTGGGGGTGTGGGGTGTGGGATATGGGGTTGGGGGTGGGGATCCCCTCCTAGCAGAGCACCTTCATCCCCTTCTCCAGGACCCAAAACATTATTCTGCCCCATCCCCTGTCCCTCGCTGAGCCCTGCCTCCCCAGTCCTCTCAGCAGGGGGTCGCTGTGGGTGGGGTCTTCTCCAGGTGGTCACGCTGTGGTACCGCCCACCGGATGTCCTCTTTGGGGCCAAGCTGTACTCCACATCCATCGACATGTGGTCAGCCGGCTGCATTTTTGCAGGTGACATGCTGGGGGTCTGCAGAGCCGCTTCCTCTCCCAATCACGTGGACAGATAGGGTCCGGAGTGTCTCCTCTGGGGAAGGGAGTGAGGCCCTTGGGGATGGGGCTAGAAGGCACAGAGGGCACCATGGGAGAGAGGGCTTCTTCGCATGTCTCCTTCTCTCACACCTGCTCCTCTCCCAGAGCTGGCCAATGCGGGGCGGCCGCTTTTCCCTGGCAATGACGTAGATGACCAGTTGAAGAGAATTTTCCGATATCCTTTGACATTTCCCTTCCCCTCAAGCTCTCTAAAGGAGAGTGAGTGGGGGAGGCACCTGGCCAGCTCCATCAGTAGAGGATGTAACTCTTGATCTCAGGGGTCATGAGTTTGAGCCCAACGTTGGGCCTAGAGTTTATTTAAAAAAAAAAAAAAAGGAAAGGGAGTCAGGAGCTCCTGGAGCTCCAGAGTGCAGGGAGTGAGGGTGGTGATGGGCTGGGCCAGGAGAGGGCGTGGCTCTGGGCGAGGGGATGGAGGGCAGAGGGCTGACACCCCTATGTTCTCAGGGCTGATTGAAGCCAAGAGCATGCTCCTCCAGCTGAGAAGTGAATCCTTGGGACAAAGGACCCCAAAGCAGCCACAGGATTATTTGTGGGCAGAGGAGGGGGTGACTGGGTCATCAGGAGCAGACATCAGGGTTGAGGTCAGAGTATGAACGTGTGAAAAGTGCCTGGCACGCCAGGAACACCAGGCCCCACCTCTGTCCTGAGCGATGGGATAAAGTGAGGGGACTGGGGATGGGCATGTGAGGGACCCCCCCTGCCAGGAGGGGAAGAGCCCTTCAACTGCCTCTTTCCATCTGAGTGACCCTTGACCCCATGGACACACTTCTGGGGACACCGACTGAGGAGCAGTGGCCTGCCATGACCAAGCTGCCAGACTACAAGGTGGGTTGGGAGATGAGGGCGGGGGGACCTCTTTACTCCACAGCTGTAGCAGCTCCAAGCCCCCATACCTCTGGTTTGACTCTCCCTGCCCCCCCCCCAGCCCTACCCGATGTACCCGGCCACAACGTCCCTGGTGAATGTCGTGCCCAAGCTCAATGCCACGGGGAGGGATCTGCTACAGGTGACCGAGGGCAAGGGTAGAGGGTGGGGTCCACAGACATTTGTGGGTGGTGGGGGGGAAGATTGGGGGGGAAGGGGCTACAGGCAGTTAACCCAGCCCGAACCCGCCGCGCCTTTCTCCCATGCCTTCAGAACCTCCTGAAGTGCAACCCCGTCCAGCGCATCTCGGCAGAAGAGGCCCTGCAGCACCCCTACTTCTCTGACTTCTGCCCCCCGTAGGTGCCAGGACCTTGGCCAGGCTGGGGCCTGGCCAGTTGCAGCCTCCTCCCGGGAGGGGAGGAAAAGCAGGGGAGGCACGGTGTGCTGAGCTCCAGCTGTGCTGGGCCTGGCCGGGGTGGCAGTGCTCTGGCCCGTGTTTGTCACTCCCTCCATGGACTTTATTTAATTTCATAAATTGGCTCCTTTCCCACAGTCTGGCTGATGTGGTGGTAGAGTGGCTCCGAGGGGGGTGGGGCTGGGGCCGGGGTCTCCGCTCTGCCTTAGCGCCCTGCTCTCTACAGCCCTGCTTCCAGCTCAGACCCAGCCCCGCTGTCCAGTCCTAACTCCACTGCCCGAAGTGTCCTGAGACCGGGTGCTGGAGGCTCTGCCCCTCACCCCGATGGCTGGGCTCGGGGGCAGCAGCACCCCCGCTCTGGTGCTTATGCTGACACCTACCCCCCTTGCTCCCTCTGCCCAGAAGCGCTAGTCCTGAGGGGGTAGGCAGCCAGTGTCAGAGCAAGGATGGGTTCCCACCAGAATGGGCAAAAGAGGACCGGGCCTTTCCCTCGTGGTTCTCCCTATCCCACCTGTACATTCCCCAGCCCTCCCTTTTTCATCGCCGCCCTCCCCCCCCGCCTCGCCGATCCCTAGGGCTATAGGCTGGGACAGGAGAGTTCCAGAGATGTGGTGAGATTAGGAACCCCCCTTCCCCAGCCCCCAGTTTCCCATATTTGGGATATAGAGAAAGAACAGGGACAGTGGGCAGTAGTGAGGTGCATTCTTACTGGCAGGAATGGGAAGGGAGGGTTAGGGTTAGGGGGAACAGCTGGGGGGCAGCTGTTCCCATGGAGACGGGTGGTGTGCTGGCCCTTGGTCCCAGATATGAGAAAAGAGGCCTGATCTTGCCAGCAGGACAGCAGCTTGTGTTCCTGGAAGTAAGTAGTTCCTCCCGTCCTCTCCCTGCCTGCTCCCCCTACTTCTCACCAGACTCTGCGGCAGAGCCTTCTTCCAGCCGTTCTCCACATAACCGCCCGCTCCCTGACTCCTCTCTGACTTGACAGCTGGCTTTGGGCTCACTGTCTCAGAGGTCATTCTGATGAGCCCGTTCACACAGCGGCAGATGACAGGCGCCGTCTCACACTTCTCCCAGAGAGATTAGCGGTGGTGGCCTGCCACTCACCTGCATCTCAGACACTGCCCACTGGATGCTGGCTGCCAGAGGTCTTCTTGGGCCTGAGTAGGGCTGACAACTGGCCTGACTAGTCTGCCTGTAAGAGAACCAGCCGAGGCTGAGGCACTAGAACTTTATTTGGGGTGAAGATGGCAGAGACATGAGCAGGCAGGGCCCGTCCTGGATGTGAGGGGGCAGCCCTGAAGACACAGACATCAGGTCTAGAGCCGTGTGACGAGGTAGCAGGTGCGGTGGGAGGCAGACAGAGTCTTGGTGACAGCACAGGGAGGTGTGGGAGGCCTGGTGCGACCCAGACCACAGCGCTGGGACAGGAGGCCTTGAACCCACTGCCTTGCCCTCCTGAACCTGAATGGCACCCTCTAGATGGGACCTGCCCCTCCTCCCTTGAAATAGGGGGCCATTTCTTGTTACCTGGGGCCCAGGCTGAGGTGGGGACCTTGGGTTCGGTGGCTGCCCAGCCCTTCCTGAAGCTGTGGGAGGAGGGAAAGGGTCAGAGGTGGGGAGGAGTCCTCCCTCCCAGGACCAGCCGAGGTCACTGCACGCTCCTCCCCCACCATTCTTTCCTCAGCTGGGTGGGGATAGTGTTCTAGGCTTCAGGGGAAGGGCTGAGCGCCCATGTTGGAGATGACAAGAAGGGACTGTTACCAGATTGGTGCTAGAATGCCTTTGGGAGTGCTTTCGGTTCCAGAAGTATCCCAGGACCCTGTCCCGGAACACCTAGGGGCAAGCAGTTGGGGAAGTGGCCAGTGCACACCTTGCTCCAGGTCCTGTGGCCTGATTCCTTTCCCCTCCCCCAGCTGGGGCTCAGGCCCACCTCACAGAGGTAGTCCAGGATCTCAAGGATGGTGAGCAGGCTGGCTCCGATGAACAGCCCCATCTGGCCCCCAATGTCACCTGCGGAGCCCAGGTTACCCATCAGCTCACAGCCACCTGCCCTGCCCACACCTCCCCAGACCCCTGGGTGCCCTGTGTGGGTCCCCTGCGCGCACACACCAAGCAGTTCCGACACTTCGTAGGCCTTCTTCTGCTCCACTGTCTCATAGTTGAGGGCCTCGAAGAAGATGTCCAGCACCAGCACGTTCTCTCTGGAGGAAAAGAGGGCAGGAAAGCTCTTTGGACACCCGCTGGTGCCGGCTGCTGGGAGGAAACAGGTGTGCGACCTGCTTCCCGTCTGGGACTCCTTTAAGAGCCCTGTTACCGGCGTCATGGACCCCGTTTGCAGGAGAGACGGTGTCAGAAGGTTAAACAGTTGGCCCAGAGGCCCAGGAGCCCGGTGGTGACGTGCACACTGGTGTGCCACCCGCGTGTGCGCACGAAGGCTCGCCCGCAGGCGGGGGGCCCGCCCCGTCCCCCGCCGGCCCGGCTCACGCGATGTAGGCCTCGCTGCGGTTGTGTTTCCGGGCCAGGAAGCGGGCGGAGGCGCGGCTCGGGATCCGCACCATGGAGAGCTCCTTGGCGTAGCGCGTGCTGGCGCACGGGTTGGGGCAGGTGCACGCGTCCTTCCGCAGCATGGCGTCTAGGGGCCACAGTCGCCTGGGTCAGGGCCACCCGCACGGCGGGGTCCGGGTAGCGGGCGGAGCGGAGCAGGGGCGGGGCTGACGGAGAAGTTCGCGCCTTACCGAGCGCCGGGTTGGCGCAGTCCTTGTACTGCTGGGGACTGCACACTGGCGCGCCGCCTTGGGGTGGTGGGGGAGGAGACGGGGGAGGAGACGGGGGAGGAGACAGCTTCACCAACTGCCCCCCTCTAGGCCCCTTTGCCCCGACCCGACCCGGAACCCCCTCCTCCGCCCCCACCAGCCCCTTACCAGGCATATGCATCATTCGGCAGCCGCACTTCCGAGCCACATAGCGCGTCTCACAGGCTAGACGACACCCCATTAGACTATAGGGAGAGTGGGGGCCTGGGCTGGGGCTGGGGGGACCCAGGGGATCCGAAGGTTCCAGCTCAAAGTCGGGGTCCAGAGATGCGGAGCTGCAGTCGCCCCACGGTGGTGGCAGGAAGCTCAGCTGTAGTTGGTTGGTTAAGGAAGCACCAGGTACAATGTGGGGGTCACCTTGCTGGCGCGCAGAGGGGTGGGGAACCCCCCCACCCTCTGAGGTGCTATGGGCGGAGGAGGGGCTTGGGGGCCTTGGTGGGGTGGAGGTAGGGATACTTGCTGCTGCTGGCAGGACACAAAGGTCTGGTAGCCAGGGGCTGCACCGAAGCCCAGCTGGTCGATGGTGGGCGGCTCCTCCTGGCTGTGAATCTGCACTCGGATCCCCACCTCAAACGGGGTCTCCTCTGCAGGGGAAAGGGGACCCTGAGGCCTGTGTCTCAGGACACCCCCTGCTTCAGTCCTCCCTCCCCAGGACTGTGACCCACCAACCCTGCCCCCTTTTCACGGGAAAGAATGTGCTCTGGGGCCCTTACTAGTGCCTCCTTTCCCTCCCAGAGCCTTTTGTACCCCAACTGCGCCACGCTTCCAGCCTGACCCGTGGGTCCCATACCCATGTCCCTCCACACGGGCAGATACTCATCCTGTTGCACATCCAGCATGATCTCCAACCCGTTGCCCATGCCGCCCTTGGGAGTGGTGAGAAGCTCTGCCCCGTCGGCGCCAGAATTAAAGGTGTAGCACTGACCCATCCGGGTGAAGATCTGTGGGTGAGCAGATACGGGACAGACCTCACCAGCATACAAGGAGCCCAGCCAGCCCTTCCCCCCAGGCAAACATGAGAACGACGAGACCGCTCCTCTCCCTGCCCTCCATTTTGTCTCTTTGACCACTGAATCCACATCTCAACAGCCCAGTCAGTCCCTCATACTGGCACATAGAGTGGGACCCTCATGGGTTCCCATCACTCCAGCCCCTCCTCCCCTTCCCCAACCTCCCACTCCCCAGCCCAGGGCACAGCCTATGGGACAAGTGTTTCTTTGGCGAATGGCAAGAAAGGAAGTGGGTCTCGGTTGCCCTCCTCCAGAACTAGCAGAACGTTGAAGAGGTAGAGGGAAAACAAGCTGACTCCCCAGCACAGAGGGCTCTTCTGCCCTAGAGCAGTCCCACTAGATTCCCCCCAACCCCCAGGAGCAGGGTCTCCTTGGCCCAGAACTTGGGCCCAGAGCCAGCCTGGGTGAGTGTCCTGTGCTGGGAGGCATGACCTTGCACACTGCGGTCCAGCTGAGTGACAGGGAGGGGACCCCAAGGAGCACAGTCTCCTGGGCTGAACAGAAACGCCCTGGTGGGATGGGGAGCTGCGGCCTGGCTGGAAAGGGAAGGATCCCTGGCATGGGTGTTAAGGTCCCCTGGCCTTGGAGGAGCCTGGGCTAGCAAGACTGGGGATGCCGGGTCCCAGATGGACAGGGGCTAGCCCGGTGCCTGGCAGTGCCGGGCTCGTGACCAGCTCACCACGGTGAAGTTCTCAGGCCCGCACAGCCAACCTCGGTAGCGGCAGTCCAGCAGCATGTCCTCCAGGCTATGCCCAGCCCTGGCGTACAGTCGAGCCATGTCGAAGGTGGAACTGGGCATGAAGCCGGGTGGTGCAGGGGGCTGGCCCAGGGCGTGCAGGAAGGCAGCATGGTCAGCGGGCTCCACACCCAGCAGTGCGGGCCCGGCCCAGTGCAGGTCGTTGGGTGTGAGGCGCGAGCGGCGCAGCGGGTTGATGTTGCACAGGGTGACAGCGGGGAAGGTGAGCCGGTGACTTTCACGCTCGTCCAGGGCTGTCTCGTGGTGGAACTCCCCGTAGTAGCGCACCCTCTCAGCCACTTGATAGAGGAAGGCGGCCAGCGACAGGAGCACGGCGGTGGCCCACAGCCCTCGGCGAGGCGTCAGGCCCCCGGGGCCAAAGATGTGGCCCAGCCCGTGCAGGGTGCAGCTGCTGGCGAACACGCAGATGTCTGAGGCCGGCCGCCGAGCCTCCTCTGGCCCGGGATGGGGCTTCATGCCGAGGCCCGGGGCGGGGGACACTGAGAGGGCCGGGGAGTGGTGACCAGGCTGCAGGGGTTTGGAAGGAGGAAAGAGGGTCAGTCTGAGGACCAGGAGGTGCTGAGAGGATTTGGGTGGCCAGGTGGGGGTCGCTGTGGGTGAGGTGAGGGAAGGACAGGGAGGGGGAGAGGAGCCCAGACCGAGAGATGGGGAGGCCCTGGTGCAGCAGGCTTGGCTCGATGGTCTCCAGGAGCAAGCTGGGGTTCCACTAGGCTCAGCGCCGGACTGGGGCTCCTGGGGCTCGGCGGGAGAGACCAGGTAGGGCCCAGCTGGTGTGGAAAGCAAGGGCTGCTGTGCTGGAGGCTGCTCTGCTGAGCTGGAGCTGCCGCAGAGGATTGGGTTACAGCAGTGTGGGGGCCGGGGGCCGCGGAGCAGTCTGGGGGGCAGGGAACGTCCCTGGGGGCCCAGGCTGAGCCATTAGTGTAGTGAGTTGCGGGGGGGTGGGGGCGCGGCCGTGGAGACCAGAGGCGCCAGCAGAAAACCGCAGCAATCCCGGGTAAGGCTTGAAGGGATCCTAGAGAGAAGTTGGGGCTGGGGGTGCCTTAATGGCCCTTCAGACTCCCAGCTGCAGCCCTTATGGTTGGGTTGAGTGTCGGTTGCTGTCCCTGGGCCCAGTCCCTCTTCCTTTTGCTTCTCTTCCCTTCGCACTAACCTCACTCAAGATAATCTGTTCCTTTACAGAGAGAGGAGCTGGCTCTTGACCAAGCTGGAAAGTGGTGGGAAGTTTGGCGCTGGCAGGCTCCTCTTTTTGAGCCCCCAGCAGGCCACACTGGACAGCCAGGGCTCTGCACATCCCATGCCCGGGGGGTGGTCTGTCTCCAGGGACCCTCTTCCCACCTCTCCATGCTGAGGCCCTCCTGGCTGAGAGGCTGGGCTCTGCCAATGTGGCTCTGGGCTCACCTGCCCCATCCCAGGTGGAACATGGATGCTTACCTGCCTCCCTCCAGGGAACACGGGTGCCCTATAATTTCACATCTTTTTTCACTTAAAAACATATTCTGCATGCCACGCAATATACAGTACCTGGAAAACTTCCCCTTTGTAAAAAATGGCTGCTTGATTCCATTATGTGGATGTACCAATGTTCATCCAATCCTATCCCTACGACGAATACAGGGGGTTTCCAGTCTTCCATTGCAAACAATGGTGCTCTCAATAGCATTGCACAGACGTAAATTCCTAGAAATAGAACCACTGGGTCAAGAGGCAGCGGTATGGGTAGTTTGGTAGATACCACAAGGTTCCCCACTGCGGGAGTTTCGCACTCCCGTCAGAAACAGGGCAGGCAGTGTTTTGCAGGGGGGTGCTATTCTTTTTCTTTCCTTTCCTTTTTTTTTTTTTTTGAAGGCTCCATGCCTAGTGTGGGACTTGAACTAACAACCCTGAGATCCAGAGTTACACACTCTACCCGCGGAGCCAGTGAGGTGCCCTTGCCGGGGCTGGTTGTGGGGGAGCTTTCCTAGAGGAAGAGATTCCGTGTCCCTGATTCAGCTGGGGTGCCTTGGGCCTAGATGACCTGGTAACGCTGGCCTTGAGAGAGCAGAGTGCGGCATCTGATTGAAGACGCTGCAGATGGTCGGGGGGCGGGGGCGCGGTGATGGGCTGGGTGAGGGTTGGACTCCCAGCCGCTGGAGCAGACGCCTCCAGAAAGGTAGAGCGGCCGTCTGCAAGGTTAGGACCGACTGGCCTGCAGCAGGGGGCTGAGGGCCACAGGGGTCGGGCCAGACGTCCCACGCAGAGCACAGCTGGGGCTGGTCATCCTCAGTACCGGCCCTGCATCTGGTTAAACGCTCACCTGCCTCCACGCGTCCGGGAGCAGGAGATGCTGCGTCTCGGCCCGCGAGAGCGGGCGCTCGTCTCCGGCAACTCACTTACCGAAGCTCATTTCGACTCCACCTTGTGGCACAGACGTGTGAGGTCGCCGGGTTCGCCTTGGCGGGCTCCTGGCCGGGAGGGGGAGAAAGTTTGCCCGCTAACCACGATCACACCGGGCTGCCATCACCTGTCCTCCCGTCCGTCCTCCCGACAAGACCGCAGCTCCTCGGGGGCAGGGCCGTCCTCCTCCCCGTCGCAGGCCAGCACACGCCATAGCTGCTTCATGAGCGCGTGATCTTGGAAGGAGGAAGTAGCTAAGTTTACTGTACGGATGGGACCAGCTTCTGAGGCCATAGCATTGTCAGTCTGAAGCATTTTACCACAGATTATCCCGTTTATTATCTTTTAAAGGATTTATTTGAGAGACAGAGAGAGAGAGAGAGAGAGAGTGAGGTCATGCACACGCGCACGCACGAGTGGGGGGGCAGAGGCAGAGGCAGAATCTCAAGCAGACGCTGCCTGCGCTGACCGTGGAGCCCAACTTGGGGCTCGATCCCAGGACCCCGAGATACACCTGAGCCGAAGCCAAGAATCAGACGCACAATCGCCTGTGCCACCCCAGCGCCCCGCAGGTGACTCCGTTTAGACTCTTAAACTCTTAGGATGAAGTACAGCAGGCATGTGACCCATGGCGGACAGCGGCAGGAGGCGAGGCTGAGGCCGCACGGCCTCCCAGCTCACCGCTCCCACAGATCGTACTATTTCCTTAGCTGGGCGGGGGCGGGGGCGGGTGCAGGCTTTGGACGGGCCTTCTGAAGAGGCCTTCAGAAGAAACCTGGAATTTTCTCGGGCGGCGGAGGCTGGAGCTGGTGGAGCAGCAGGAGCTCGCCTCTGCTGCCTCTCCCTTGAAGGAGGGGTGAGCAGGCCCGTGCGGGCTTGGCTACAGGGGCTGAGGCTGGCTCCGGGCTGCACTTACTAGGGGGGTGTTTGGTGGCAAAGCCACGCGGAGTCCACACTCCGCTGCCTGGGCTGGGGCCACCCTGGCATGCGACCTCTCATCGGTAAGGAAGCAGGGCAGCAGCACACCAGGGTCTAGCTGTGGCCCTAGGACATTTTAGGTGCTTTGTCCCCAGAGTAGCATCTGGTCCAAAACCACACCCAGAAGAGGCTGCAGGGACTGTCGGCCCCAGCTCTGCACACCTGAGCCACCAATATTCTCCCTCGATAGCCTCCAGTCACAGCTGACTCTGCTTGTCCTGCATATCGAGGCTGCCACGGAGACATGGCGTTGTCCTTGGATAGAGCCACAGGATAAATCCACCTGATTTTGTGTTTCATCGGCCTGGGGGCTAAGTTGTAACTCGTCCCTCACAGTTTGGTGACTTAGCACTGTATGACCGTGTGGCTGGAGTTGAGGGTACATGTCAGCTCCTCGTTTGTGTCCTTCAGAGCAGCGCGTCCCCACAAAGAGGGGCTGTCCGCAATCTCATGGGCTAAGAGTTGGGTGCACGGAGCTGGGGCCGTGGGAAGACAGCCTGTAAGCTTCCAGCTCCTTGTGGAACAGACCATGCCATGCCCTGCCCTCCTACCCTTTTCCCAAGGGCCGGGGGCCGGTGTCCCAACCCACCTGTTCTGTTGGATGGGGGTGTGGGGGGGTGGGGATGAAATCTAGAAAAAGGACCGTCTTCATGGAGTAGGAAGGAAGGGAAGTTGTTCTCAGAATGGGGACTGGGTTTGAGGGGCTGGTCCAAGGGGTGGGCTCCTTCTCCCATGGCTCAGAGAGGCAGTGGGGACAGAGAAGAGTGGGGAGTCAGGGTCCAGGAAGGTGAGGTCCTGGCATGGGTGTGGGCCACCCTAGTGTGAATTTCCATTCCCACTTCCTGAGCCTGATTTATAAAGATTCCCTGCAGCTGGGCCTGGACACCTTTAGGCTATCAGGTAGAGGGGAGACTTGGCAGGTTTTCTGAGAGGGGACGGGAGGGTCTGGGCAGAGGGAGGGAACAGAGCGGGGTCCTGGGGACTCTGCCTCCTCCTCTGTGATTTATGGCTCCAGCAGGAGGGACGCAGCCTGGCAGCAGGAGCAGGAGTGGATGGGAGCAGTCCCAACCTCCCCCACTTCAGTGTTAGGCCCAGGTCTCATCGTGAGCAGGGGAGAGCAGCCGCCTGGACCCCAGCACACTGGCCGTCCTGGGTGCTTGGTCCCTGGCAGCTCCTGGAGCTAAGCCTTGGCCCTGGGCACCAATGCTCGGCCGCGACCAGACCTCAGACAGCTGCGCTCAGGACTTGGGGTCGCAGTTCCTGGAGCCTCTGGGCATGTCAGGAGCTGGGGCATCCAGGGCCTGTCTCCGGATGAGCTCGGCATACGGCCCACCTTTTGTCAGCAGCTCTTCATGGGTCCCCACCTGGAGAGAGGAAGGAGGGAGAGGTGATCACCCCAGCCCAGTTCAGAGCCCTAGGCGGGCTGGCTTCTTATTGGCCATTGGGCTCACTGTCTCCTAAGCCAGTGTCCCTTCTGGGGACACTATGAACTCAAAGCACAGTTGGTTACAGATAGCCACTGGTAATTCTGTATTTGTTGGCACCTCCTCTCCATTTAGCCGGATTTCGGAAGGGCATCTGAATCCTTTTATCTCTCTAACAGAGACTCCAGCTTGTACTTGAACAAGCAGCTGGGTGCTAGGGGCCAGGCCCCATGCAGCCTCCCGGCCTCGCTGCAGAGCCAGGCTCTGGAGAGCTGCTCCTGGTCGGCCCCTGATCACGGTTCCTGGTGCTGCCTCTTCTGACCTCAGCCCCTATGCCCTTCTATACTTCCCTGAGTCCTTCCCTTTGGTCCCGGGAGCCAGGATGTAGCTCGACTATTCCCATGGGACAGAGGAAGAGAGACCTGAGAGACCAGGGCAGGAACTCCCGAATCCACACACGGTACTGCTTCCAGAATATGGCCCCAGGCCCCTGGGCCAGGCCACCCCCTCCCACAGCTCCGATGAGCCACGTGTTCTACTCTGTCCACGGCGGAAGCTGTCCCAGCCCACCGCGCCGCTGCCTGGCCCCCCGCTGACCTCACAGACCCGGCCGTGGGCCATGACGACGATGTGGTGGGCCCCGCGCACGGTGCTGAGCCGGTGGGCGATGACGAGCACCGTGCGGCCAGCACTGGCGCGGTCCAGGGCCTCCTGCACCACCCGCTCAGACTCTGAGTCCAGCGCGCTGGTCGCCTCATCCAGGATCAGCACCGCGGGCTGCTTGATGAGGGCGCGGGCGATGGCCAGGCGCTGCTTCTGGCCGCCAGACAGGGTTGTGCCCCGTTCACCTGGGGGGAAGGGGACAGGGCGGGGGCCTGAAGCGATCTTCACAAAGGGGCACTGGGGCCACCTGGAACGTCCCATCTGCCCTCCACCAACCCCCTCCCTGGCACTGTGCACACTTGTCCCGCCTCTGACGCCTTAGCATCCTGACCCCATAACCTTGTGCAAATGCATGAACACACTCACACCAGAGAGCAGGAGCTGCACACGCATGGGACTCAGTGTACCCCAGAGTCACCGCGTGCCCCTTCCACACCAGTGCAGAGTCTCCGAGCTGGGCTGGGCCTGCTCTATTCTGGCCTGCTAGGTTTCCACCGCTGGGGGGACATCCAGGACCTGGACGTGGGCCCTGGAGTGGGGTGACGGCCTGCCACGGGGATTCTGGGAAGACCACCCTTGGGGTCTACAATGTCCACAGGGAACAGCAGAGGTGACTGCCCAGAGCTAGAGAAAGCACCACGGTGACCGTGGTCAGAGAGCAGTGGGGGCAGACCCAAGTCGCAGACGGGCCTGGGAGTGTGCTGGGGTCAGAGGTACGTGGAAGGAGCCGCTCCAGACAGGTGTGGGGACAGCTCCTCCCCTCGGGGTGGTGTGGGATCTGAGCAGTGAGCAGAAACGGCTGGATCAGCCACAGCCCATGGACAATGGCTAAAGACGGGGCAGGAAGGGGGTGCCACTTCGCAGGTATGACGCTCAGCTAGACTGAGCCCTCGGCTCCAAGAAAAGCTGAAAACCCCAGCTGTGCCACACCTTGACGTGTGCTGGAACATTCCGCAACAGGGCCAAGACTCCAGATGAAACACCTGGCCCCAAAGTTTGCAAAAAAGACCCCCTGAGATGAACGCACAAAGCTGTGAGCCACGTGGGGAATGTTCTAGTGTGAGGCTGTGATATTTCAATGTTCCAGGACCATCTACACCCTTTTCTAGGTTAAGTCAGAAGGGAGACCTGTTCAGCCCCATCAATCCCTGTGGGTAACTAGACAGAAACATTTTCAAATTAAGGAATAAAGGAACAGGAATGACACAGGAGCCAGAAGTGTAAGGAATTTCGAGGTGGTAATACCGTGATGCTTCTGGTCAGGTCTTAGGACGTGGGGGCCCCTGAGAAGCTCTGAAGGGTCCCAACGCCACGGGTCCCTTGTGTCCCTGGCTGGGTCCCGTCCCTACACTCCCTGTGGTGTCCCCGTCTTTGCAGCCTGTGTGTGGTTGAACCACAGAACCATGTCCG